CCGTCTAGTTGGAGCGCCAAACGAGCGCTGTTGCGTGCCGGCCGTCGTTTCCCGTGCGGCCTGACCCGGGGGCGGAGTGCATGAGACTAACCAGCCGTATGCACCCGCCCCCCGCGCTGTGTTTCGGCCCTGGGCCCCCGGCTTTTCAGCCCACAGTGTAATCAACGTCATACATACATACATACATACATACATACATACATACATACATACATACATACATACATACATACATACATACATACATACATACATACATACATACATACATACATACATACATACATACACGCCCACACTCCCTCTTTCCCGCTAGGCGCTGGTAGCCCTCCACGAAGCCGGGTACGTGTATCGAGATCTGAAGCTTTCCAACGTTTTGGTGTGCGAGGGGGGAAGGGTACGACTGACGGACTTCGGCGCCGCTACCCCCTGCCTGCCGGACCGCCCGGGGCTGTTTGGCGGCGCCGCCGGCACCCGGGCCTATCTCGCGCCGGAGGTACTACCCTGGCTGGAGCGCAGTACAGCGAAGGGGGGGAAGCACAGCAGCGGTGGCGGGAGCGGCGGCCCGGAGCCGTACACGATCACTGTGGACTCTTGGACGTGGGGCCTTATGATGGTGGAGCTGGCGACTGGATGGAGCCTTAAGGTGCGTGATGATCACCGGGGAGTGGGGGGGGAGAGGGGGAAAGAGGGCTTGCTCGGGTGTGTGTATGTGTTTTAAATTGACATGTATGTTTGTTATCACATCCGGCCAACTCCCCACCTTTCCTCACATCCAGAATTCGTTATCCATTAATCAAAACCCACACAGGAGCTCACGCAGCGCGTCATTCGTCGGGTATATGGGGCCCGCGGCTCCGAAACCCCCGACTTGCCCCCGGACTGCGGCCTTCCCCCCGCACTACGCCAATTGTTGCTGGATCACGTACTTGTACGGGATCCTCGGGAAAGGTGGCCGGCGGCTCGCATTCGCAGCCACCCGTTCTTCCAGGACCTGGACTGGACGAGCCTGGCGGAGGCGGAGGGGCCGCACGCGCACTTGTTCGGGCGGGGGAGGTTGGTCAACGCGCCGGCGGCTCCCGTGCAGGATAGTCCCGACGCGGTGGCGGCGGCGATGCTAGAGGGGGAGATGATGGCGACGGCGGCGCGGCGGGGCAGTCGGCCGACAGGCCTGGCGTCGCCGGTGGCCGTGCTGACGGCGGCGGCGGCGGCGGGCAATTTGCCGACGGCGGCGGGGCTGCCGATGGGCTGTGCCGCAGAGGCAGCCATATGCGAGAGTGTGGATGGCATGAATACTGTCGTACCGTTTGGAAACCAACGATCCAGCAGACCAAGCTCACGTCAGCCAAGTTATACGGGAAATGGTGGTGGTTTCGGAGCTCCTTCAAGTCCCAAAGGTCTTATCAGCGCCACGGGGATGTTCATTTCGCCGACTGGCGGCGGCGTCGCCGGCGGTTTTCAAAGTCCCGCCGGCGGCGTACGGCAATTTTCTTCCCCTGGCAACGGCCCGCTGATAGGGCCCGTAGTGTTGGCGGGATCGTCGGCAATGTCGCCGTCACAATCGTCGTACATGGCACCGGAGTTGAGTTCAGGGCTGGCGGCGGCGGCGGGCATTGCCGTCGGCGCCCGTCGCCACACGCTGCAAGGCGCCGTCGGTTCGAGCCGGCTTTCCTCGGGCTCACATCTGCGCCACTCGCCGGCGCCGCCACCGCCGCCAACACCGCCGCCGGCGGCCTTGCCAACAGTACGACAGCAGCAGCTGGTGGCGGTGGCTACAGCCGATTGAAGCAGTGGAAAGGGAGGAGGGGGAGGCAAATTGTACCGCGGTGTGGACGAGTCAAGTGCCCCCAACTGTCCCGATCTCGATTAGCCGCGGCCCGCCACCCGTTGGTGCAGCTGTTCCTTTCACTAGGCAGGATTGTACTCTACTCCCCACCCCCACACACCACCGCCACACCACACACACATATTCAGTCCGTGTCGGCTTTTGCTTGTTGTTCGTTTGTTTGTTTGTTTGTACGGCATTCAAGGGCCTTTAGGAAATTAGTTTGGTTGACCAGGGCTGACCTGATGAATTAGAAGTTGAGGAGAGAAAGAGCATTGGTTTTTTGGTTGTTGGGTTTCTTTTTGGGCTTGGCGGTTGTGTCTTCCGGTCGCTGGTTGCCGTACTCCGTTGGTTGACCGTTGTGAAATTCGTTTCCGGTTGTTCTCCAGGTCTGGTCGCGGGATGAGGGTGGCGGAGGGCAGCAGAAGAAGAAGTGTCTATGCGGAGCAGGCGACAGGGAGTTCAGGAGGAGGTGTTTGGTCGCTTACTGCCCTGCCAGCGGTGGTGGTGGGGCCCGGCAGGAGGTGGCGGGATGTCTGTGGCGCGCGCAAGAAGCGCACACAGGTCGCTGCAGGGTCGCAAGCCGCAGCGGTTTCCATTCAGCGGCAGCTGATGTGGTGATGTGGTCGGTGATGTGGCCGGGTGGGTCGGAGAACCTGCAGGAGCAGGAGGAGGAGCAGTAGTAATAGTGCAGCAGGGTGGGCTGCAAGGGGGGGATCGCTGCTGAGGACGTAGCTGGGCCCCCTCGGCGCAAGCCGGGGCAAGTATGTATGTATGTATGCGTGAGTGTGTCTCTAGCAGGTGGGCAGGTATGAGCTCACTCGTACTTTTAGCGAAGTACCTCCTGAGGCTTCGAATGAGTGTACGGATGGTGTCATGATGAGTGTGTACGACATGCTCCCGCCACTTGTGCGCGTTGAGGGGACGGAACATGTGACGGCGGCGGCTGCAGGAGGGGGAGCGGGAAAGCGATGTACTGCACGTACCTTATACTGCATTGTACGACTGGACGAGACACATCCACGTTAGTTCCTTCCCGTCTAGCTCTTTGCATGCTTTGCTGAGGAAGCCGCCGTATTAGCCACGTCGCTGTCACCGACTAGAGCGCACATTCGCTTCTTTAGAGATGATCTGTATACTGCGTGTATCTGCGAGTCAGTGGTGTGGTGTTGTGTGCAACCGGTTGTGAGGTGTTGTTCCCCTACACGGGAAGAACCCCTTTAGTTCATCCCTTCGGGGGGGGGACTCTCGCCGGTGGTGATGGTGATGGAGGTGGAGGTGGATGTGGATGTGGAGGTGGAGGTGGAGAGGGCATTTGAGGACCGCGTGGAGACTATAATAGAAAGTATCTGGACTATCTGGACAATGTGAGTAGGGCCACAGAGCCACAGAGCCACATGGCCAGCACGAACCACGACCGCTAGTGAGCTGCGTTTGACAGGGGTGCTTGCGGCTCTTTTGTGCACCACGACTACTACGACCTAGAGGTAAGTAGCGAGTGCCCCAGCGCACGCCTATCGGGGATCAGGTGGGCAGAGTGAGGGCAGTCCTTCAGGAGCCACCTGGAGGAGTGAAACCACCGCGCAAGCTACGTGAGCCAGGCGGTGGATGCAAATAAGAGCCCACATGTCACTGTGGGGGGGGGAAGGGTGAGAGCGGGGGACGAGGAGAAGCACGGAGGCTTACATTTGCAACCATGACTTAGCGAGGAAAAACTTGAGCCAATTCTCGCCGACTCGGCGGTAATTGGTTTCGGAGCGGAGAGGGCAGTTGGTTGTGGGGGGGACAGAGTACAGGCGCGGAGGACTGTGGTGCTGGTGGTGGTGGTGGGGGGGAAATGTGTATGTGGGGGGAAGGGAGGGAGGTTTAGTGATTGTTGAGGTTAAGAGGGAAAGGGGGCACGACCCATTATAGAAGGCAGACCTATCCACAACTCGGCCATTCCCGCAAACATTTTAATTAGTTTCCCTTCCGCACTTTCATCGCATTGGATAGCTATGTGTAGCTATGTGCATCTGCTGAAAAGGCACGTTGCTTGTGCAAATATGCTTATGCGTGCTTGTGCGCAAAAAATGTGAGTTATGTCAGTCAGGGGAAAAAAGGAGGTAAATGCGCTTTACAGCGAGAATCTCTTTTTTTGCGAATACCAGTGTATGTGTGCGAGCTCCACTCATATCGCCGCCAGTATGCATATACCCCACACACCTCCTCACATGCGCGACGAAATGGGGTTATGTGCTGTGTTTGAGTTCAATGCATGTATTATTGCAAGTATGTGTGTATGTTTATGTGTGAATAAAACGATGCCGCTTGGAAAAAAAGGCGCGCGGATGATGACAGCGGCGGGCAATGGAGCTGTGTGTATTTGTTACATACCTGTCCAGGCTTGACAATGAGTGTGTACTTCATGACGAGAGGTTTCGTAAAAAAAACTCTATTCAGTAAAAAAAGATGGAGAGTGCTGCATTTGTATGACGTGCGGTGATGTTGGTCGGTGTGGCATGCTGCCCGCGGCCCGCCCCGCCTTGCCTTCAGGCTCCACACCGCCTGAAGGCCCCCAAAGGGGACGGACTTCTCCTTTGTGCCTTTGAGGCATTCCGCCTGGGAGCGGAAGAGGAGGGCTTATAAGTTGTATTCTTTGGTTGAAGGGTTCGTGAACCACCAAATCTCCTGTACAGTCCAGGTTCTTTAATGTATATGATGCGCGGCTCAATTACAACGGCTAGCTTACACAGTCAGGAAATGTGCAGCTAAGCACGCTGTAGATGGGTTTATTGTATGATGTGTGAAACAGGGGGGTATATCTTCGCCCGTGGCAGCTACCCTGCGAAACACCTGCATGCCTGGACTAAAGTAGAGTACAAAAGTAGAGTACATAAGTGCGGCAAATCAGAGGGACTCTACCCCGGGGGGGGAGAGACAGTCCGTTTTACAAGATCCTTTAGGGAGAAATCCTGTACCGCAAAACCTGAAAAAGAGTGGAACATCAAGTAATGTACTCAAAACGGGCGGGTTGTGCACCCGAGGGGGAGGTCAAATGAAGTTGGGGGCACTCAACCCCGGCCCTCCCTCACCAGCCGCCCCCTTATCTCCTCCTCTTCCTCCTCCTTCCCCCCATTTCCCCGCAACAAAAAAAGGAAAGGCCTGAAGAAGAAAAAAACGTTATGCCCCGAAGCCAACCAGCGCACCAACAATGTAAATAAACACTTGGACTGCCCCACTGGGAATGGACGAATGCAAAGTACCAGCGGCGGCAGCAGCGACAAAGAGAACGACCGCCAATGGGGAAAAGGGAGGTGCTGGACACCCCCAACCTCGCCACGTACACACACACGAA